TTTAAATATTTATCATAACAAAATTTACAATTAAAAATACATTTGAAGAAAATTAAATTTTAATGAGACTGCACACAAACATATCACAACTAAACCATTTTATAAATTAAGCAAATAGAATTATTGGTCAATCTCAAGTCTCAACCAAAATTTGTACAAAACAAGTATTAAAATAAATATTTTCTCTAAATAAATCAATGCTAACTATTCATTGTTTCATCTACATTAAGTAATAGTTAAAATTCTCAATTCACTAATTACACAGACCTATGTTTTATTTTATATTACAATTACTAACTAAATTGAATTTTGTTTAATTTTATCAAGAACAATACACTCAACTCAATGAAAATATCACAATGATTTTTATTTGACATAAAATATTCTTTAGTTTTTCAATATTTTTTGGGGCAAAAAAAGTTTTGTAGTAGTTTTTTTTTTTTGTAAATAAAAATTTTATTCAAAAACAGCCAAGAGGGATGGAACCTTTGTACACCATGCATAAAAGGCTATAAACCCTCTCCAAAATAAAGCTCTCCAAAAAAGTCTACAAGGGAAACGCAACAAAAGGGAAATGTTGTGGTGCACACCCCTCAAAAAGTGTGTACCATATGCACCTTGAGAAGAAATAAAAATCTCCACAAGAACTATGTGGTCCCAACACTACCACGTGACGTAGTTATGGATTATTACCTATGTGGCAGTTGGCAAATCCTAATCAAACACTACAACAATATTATATATGGAGTAGAACTCATCATGAAATGAGATTGCATTTACATAAAAGTCCTAAACAACCGGAGATTGTTTAAAAAAAGACTCCTGGAGCACTCAGACTACTTGTTAGGTAAGGCACTAGATTATTATAAATAAACCATACCCCATGGGTTGAGGTACGCTATTATTTTCTATCAAATTTGTCCATTAAATATTTTTATAATATTGGAGGACTAACTTGGGTGACGGAGTACCCCCGGCTGTTCAACAGCTGGGGGTGTTTTATCTTGTAGATGGTGAACATGTGGCGGTTCCGATTACCTTCATCATTGGATTTCATCATCATCATCAAGTCTAGAATTTTTCATGTCCATACACACCCTGTGATGTTTTTTTGTAGTTTATGTTGCGTACTTTTGTGGTAAATGTTGCATAATTTTTTAGGGTGCATATGGTACACACCTCAAAAGTGTGTACCATAACATTTCTCTTGACAAAAATGTAAACATAAGTTCCAATCTATGTAACAAAAATACTTCATCCACACAAAAATACCCTCGACTCCCTTGAATGAGCTGGCACAATTTGAACCCAAATCCAAACCACGCTCCTCTCTTTCCTCTCAAATGGTAAACAAATGATGGGTCTCTCTCTCTCTCTCTCTCTCTCTCTCTCAAGACTGCTGACACATATGCTCCTCACCCTCCTCTCGTCTTCGGCAGCGATCGAACCCTCCTCTCCTCTTCGTCGACGATCTCAAGTAACCCCCGACATCGCATATTTCAATCTCACATTGAAGCTTTTTGCATTTGTTCATTCTGGTTTTGTGAGGTGGAGCATACACTTGAATTACTTCAAATCTATGTAATTGAAACTAGGGTTTTGAATTAGGCTTCAATTTCTGTTTGAGAATCATAACTATTACTTCCTAATTTCTAACATTCATTCTATTAGGGTTTTAAATATATAAAAAAAAATTGGGGCTTTTCAATTTATAAATTAAAAATTGGTGATTATTGAACATGAAAAATTTTAGGTCATAGATAGTTTTGGTTAAAAATTGGGGATTGTTGATTGCATCCATATCTTCTGGTTTCATAATCTCTGAAGGAAGAGTGCAAAGTTGGTTAATAGACGGAGCACCTCAGGTTCAGCCATTTTCTTGTTTTGAGTGTTTGTTTGCAGTACTAGGCTTTGTGTTTGAACGGATAAAATGGTGAGCTGAACTGAGTTTTAAAACTGAGAATTCGCAATGCTCCAAGTGATTTGTGGCAATGGAAGAGTATATGAGTATATGCATATGCTTACTATAAAATCTTTTTTTTTTTTTTTTTAATATTTGAAAACAATTATTAGGCAAATTGCTTTTGCTTATTTCTTTGATGGCAACCTATGAAGCATAAACACGAACACGGATACAGGACACGGTGATTTCAAAAAAATTGAGACACGGACACGATAGAAGACGCAGCAAATTTTTTTTAAAAAATATATATATACATGTATTTGCAATGTAGATTAATATTATGTTACCAAACTCTTCTTCTGCCACTACTTTCTCAAATTCAACACATATTTCCTATAAATTATAACCATTATAAATTAATTTTATTTATGAAAATCCAAAAAGAATAAAATTTATTCTACAATATATAAATATATAAAGAAAAAATAAATAAATAAAAATAAACAATATATATTTATTTATTATATAGAAATAGAGTATAATCAACAAAAAAAAATAAAGAAATAAAGAAGAGAGAGAGTCAGACATAGAGTATAATCAGAAAATAAAATAAAATAAAATAAAAAGAGACAGATCCTAGAGTATAATAAAATAAATAAATAAATAGAAGAGAGATGAGTCCCAAAAGAAGACTACAGAGAGAGACAGAGAGAGGGTAGAGCAATAATCAGAAGAAAAAAAAATAAAGAAAGAAAGAACGAGAGATGAGAAGACGAGAGACATAGAGAGAGAAGGGAGACTGACGAGAGGTGAGAAGACGAGAGGTAAAGAAGAGAGAGAGAGAGAAGAGGTGAGACGCCCAAAGACGAGAGACTTACCACAATGGAGATCGATTGAGATTGAGCTCAATGGAGATGGAGATCGACTTCGGACTTCGCTAGATGAACAGGTTCAATTTTCCCCTCTGTTTTTTTTCTTCTGATTTTGAAATTAGGTCTCTCCTCCTCGTCGTGTCCCCGAAGTGTCCCACACCAAAAAAATAAAGAAAAGGCATGTGTCCCCGTGTCCGACACCGCTACGACGTCGATTTTGAAGTGTCCAGACTTCATATATAGGACTCTTTCCAAGAAGTAACCAAACACCATTATCTAGGATCTTTCTTGATTGAAAAATTGAGCAAATATAAGCAATTTGGGCACCAAATGTCGATCAGAAAACAGAACTAATTTTTTTCTTGCTTCTTGCAAGGAAAAAGCTCCAAACCACATCCCTAGCTTTGTGGTCACTTCAGCTATTAAAAACTAATTTGGGCACACATCCTCTGAACAATCTGTTCTGGTCCAACAAATCAATTGATAAGCTTTTGGAACATGAATAACTACTTGAGAATATCAGGAACTCCATTTAATTTGAATTAAGTAGTTAGAAACAGAGCTCTTCACAAAATAAGTAACCGTGTATATTAAACTACACGAGGCTCTCCTAAATCCAACTCGCCAAGACATTAAACTATATTGGGATTATAGCCTGATCTTGTGAGTGTAAAATTAGACAGATCTTGACATTGCTCTTCTCACTTGTTCTAGCATCTTGGGTTGGTTTTGTTTCTGTTAGTGAGATTTATTATTTACATATGTAGATGTCAACTTCAAGTGTTAACAGTAGTAGCTCAGATCAGTTGACATATTGTAACAAGAATTGTGATAAATGTCGTAAAAGAGCAACTATTCGGGTTTCTCAAACTGATCGAAACAAAAACAACTTATTTTACTCTTGTAATGCTTGTTGTTTCATTGCATGGTGTGTGCCTACAAATTCACAAAGCAAAGGAGATGGAATTGCAAGACAGTTACAAAAAGAAGTGCAAATGGACAATATGGAAACTATTGGTGAACAACATCAACTTGTGATGATGAACCTGCACAAACTGGAAACAGACATTACGTTAATGAAATATGGGTTCTTCCTCTTGATTGTAATTGGTTTAGGGTTACTTATGAAAATGTATAATGTATTTGCAAGTTAGGATTGCTAATTAAGATGGAAGTTGATGAATATGTCTTGCTTGTATAACTATGTTGTAGCATGGATCATGTTTCAACTATATGTTTTGCAATAGTTTTTGCTTAAGTTGATGGGTTTTATCACCGGGTGTCATATTCAGTTGGATAAAATTGTTAGTCATATTTCATCTTTTTATTGTCCTAGGTTTCACTAGAGAGAATCATGTGACCTATTTTTTTAATATTTTCTTTTGTTTTGTTATATACTTCATTTCAAATTATAGGTGGTGGCCAGGGTTCTTTCTAATTTGCTTTGATGTCTATCCAGCTTGAATGAACGCAAGACTAAACAAATACTACACCTTTTTTGAATTTTGAACCTTCAACTATACTACAAAACGAAACTGCATTTTTTCCTCTTTCCTTTTATTTCCTTTCTTTCCTTTTTTTGGTGTTATCCAAACTCTACCAAAATTGTTTACTGAACTGAAGGATCCAATATGGTTTCTTTTCTTGGTCTTGTTCCATTAGGTTCTCAGTGTGGTGAGTTATTTTTGAGAAAAAAACAAATTTTAAATCAAGTAATGCTGAAAGATTAAGCATGCAGCGAGTAGGAGCATTCATTCTCATGTAATAAGCAACCATATACAAAGAAGACAAGGATTTATTTGGTCATGACACATACTGGCCTTACATAGAACCAAAACCAGAGATATACAAAAGCTCCAAAAGCCAAACATCGATATACTACTTATCAGTACAAACAACCATAACTCAGATTGTTGAATAATAAAAGCACAATAACAAACCCATCTCAAATAGACCCAACAGAACATATATGTTTCAGACAAACCCGAAGATCATCAAGACACCTCAAGCAGCACAAATCACAAACCCAAATTATTACAAAAACATGACTCATTTGGATCCAAAAAAACATCCAAGCCAAAATTATACTGACCAAATCAAATCATCCAAGCCAAAGTATACAAACCAAAGTATACAAGCCAACTATAGTAACACAAATTGATCAATTATTCAACTTCATGAAATGCTTAGATTTACACAGAAGAAAAAAAAAGAAGAAAATTTACCTCTGCTTTTGTATGCTTTTTATTCTTTGCCTTCAACCGATTCACTATTTGATCCACTTTGCTAACCTTTCATTTGGTACATGGACAACCTCTTTGGCAAGCAACCAAAGAACTAAGCACCTAGCTAGACATGCTTGTTTTTGTAGTACAACCGCCAATCGGACTTTTTGGGGAAGTATCAAAAGGTGGTACATTACTAGTAGAATGTGATACATTACTCCCACAACCTGATTCATCTTTTCTCACTCTAGCCTTTATTTCCGCCAACCCAAGTTCAATAATTTTCTGTTTACCTTCATCGTTGGAAGCAAGTTCTACAATTTCATTCAATAACTTCTGCATCTTATCATGAAACTTTGCATTGAAACCAACCCCAAAGTTAGTGTATGTGGTTCTAACAAATGTGTACCCTCTTTCCAAATCCTTTCTCCATCTTGGCATAATGTATTTATCTGGAACCTCATTTATGCACCTTGCAATAAGCACACAAAGTGAGTGGCCACACATAATGCCCCTAAACTCAAACAACCGACACATACATTGGACCTCACATTCAGTTGAATTATAATAGACAACAAACTCCATGGGCTTCAACTTCTCATCAACTACAACAAATTCCTTGACATGATACGTAGAAATTGATCCCTCCTCTTTGACAAGAAGGGGATTACAGTAAATTAGTCGCTTCAATTCTCCTTGAAATTCTTTAAATTTTGCATTAGTGTAGGTTGCCCGAAATTGTTTCTCGAAACCATATATCGTGAGGCAATCATACAATTTGTGTCGAGATTTAAAGTCAGCTTTCTTCTCTTTCTCTACCTTACTTCTCAAAGCATTGTCATACAGCTCAACAAATTGCTTTAAAGTAGTCTTTGAGTTCACATATCCATCAAAAAATGCACTCATACTCTCACTTCGTTGTGCAATTGACATGCCAGCCCAAAAAATGTCTTTAACATAGACAGGAACCCACCGATGTCGCTCACCATATAATGCCCCCAACCACTCATTATCATAAAGATTGAACTTTGAAATCATCGCTTGCCATTCTTTATCAAATTCAGCTTTTGTAAAAGAGTCATAAACTGCATTTTCCAAAGCTAACTTTATGTGTTCATATTGGGAATATCCTCTCAATTTCTCCGGAATTTTCTTCATTATATGCCATAAGCACCATCGATGTTGAGCCTTTGGAAAGACAATCTCTATGGCATTTTGCATAGCTTTGCACTGGTCAGTTATTATAGCTTTTGGAGGAGCGTCTGACATACAACTTAACCATGATCTAAATAGCCAAACAAATGTTTCAGTGCTCTCATTACATAACAACCCACAACCAAGCAAAATTAATTGTCCATGGTGATTAACTCCTATAAACGGAGCAAACGGCATGTCATATTTGTTCGTGAGATAGGTTGTATCGAATGAAACAACATCCCCAAATGCTTCATAAGTCGCCCTACTCCTTGCATCCGCCCAAAACAAGTTTCGAATGCGACAATCTTCATCAAAGTCAATCACATAATAGAAGTTCGAATTTTGTTGTTGCATCCTCTGAAAATAATCTCGAAGTGATTCGCCATCTCCTACCCCAAGCCTTAATTTTCTAGCACTCTCAATGTGATTCCTTGCATCTCGCTCATCAAATGTTAATGCCTCATATCCCCCTGCTTCAACAACTATAGAATGCAAATTCTCAGCCACTCCAATCCCTACTTCATCGTTAATTTCTAGTCTTCTCTTCGCAAGAGTAAGAAATCTCTTATTCATTGCAAAATGTCGTGAGTCAGTTGGAGTCAAGTCATGGGTATGCTCAAGCATAACTGTTGTTAACATATATCTTCCATCCTTTCGTAAACTTGCTCGTACCCTTGCTTTGCAATCAATTTTTGTTGACAAAGATGGCTTTAAGGAGTTTACTTCTGATTTTTTTGTTCTCTTTCTCGTCCGAGTACATTCAATTCCAAAGTATTTTACTTCCCCATCATCTCCAACATTTTGTGTTCTATAAGCTATAGCAAATCCAACGTGTTTCGCATATTTTGCATAAAAATCGTACACTTCTTGCTTTGAGCTAAAACACATTCCCTTCTGAGGTTCTTCAACTTCTTCACTCTCATTTAATGAAGGATTGTTTGAATCAATGTCCATTGTTGCTCTTTCAAGCTTGAAACTAAAACATAAACAAGAAATTCAAATGAATAAAAATGTAGACTACTTATAATGGAGGCTGCACTATTCTGTTAACGATTTTATTCATAATTTGCACCAGGTTAGATTATGCAGTAGTGGAGGTGGCTGACTTAGTGCTGGTTCTGTTTGCGGGTATTGAAGGCATAAAAGACAAGCCAATGGATAGTAACAAGAAAGATGGTAGGCAGCCATTTCAAAACAACTAACAGCAATTTGTTTAGGTTGAACTTGAACTTATGTTTTGGAAAATGACTTGTCCATGAGCCTCGACTTGAAGCATGTGGTCTTAGGCATTATAACTGGAGATGTGCCCATGTTCTTGTGTTGGACAATTTGAGACAACAAAAAGATGAAGCAGATTTGAATAATTATGCCTCGTTTGGCAAGTTAACATTTTAGTCAAAAAGTTATTAAAAAAGTCAAAAAGCTTATAACTTATACCAAAAAGTCAAAGATTCTCTTTTCTCTCTACTTTTTATACATCTTTTCGTAAAAAACTAAAAAGTCACCCCAAACATACTAGTTTTTTTTACCTCATATTTTAACTAAAAAGCCAAAAATTTACTAAAATAGCCTATTCCCAAAAGAGGCCTAAGACCTCACCTAAACAAACTAACTGTAACAAATTGTTATCAAACATGAATAATATACAGAGGAATTTCTATCATTTGTTATGGTTGTTGATATCTTTCTTGGATACCAAAAAAATAAAAATAAATAAGGGACAAATACAGAAGGGGAAAAAATAAAAAATAGGGCTTGAGGCATGTAACAAAATAAACCCTCAGTTATTTAATTTTATCAATTTAAATCCCAAGCTTTTTATTTGCTTTCAATCTAAACCATTCACTTCTTTTGTTTAGTAAAATCACCAGAGCAAATAGTTTAAACAAATCAAAAGTCTGGGATTTAAAGTGACAAAATTAAAAACTCGGGTTTAATTTGTCAAAAGGGTCAAACCCTACTTCTTGTTAATTTATAGAGGAATTCTGTATATTTCACAAGAAATAAAACTGCTTCAAGCAGAAAGGAACTATTAAACAAACTGCTTGAATTCTGTATGTTAAAAAAACTGTTTAAACAAGATATAAAAATATACAGAGGAATTCCCATTTCATTCTATATCAATATAAATTGCAAAAACTCCCAACTTTAAAACCAATCAAACATGAATTTCATCAATATAGGCTCAAATCATACCCACATTGAAAAACAAGAGACGAAATGGGAAATGGAAAGTAGGGATACATTGAGAGAGAGAGAGAGAGAGAGAGAAAGAGAAAACACATACCGTCGGAGAGGGAGAAACGCCGGACTGCGACAGACGTTCGCGAGCGAGAGATTGCTAAGAGAGAGGTCTCCGTTTGAGTTTTGGGTTTCGGAATGTAAAGACTTGGGTGGACATAAATTTGGGGATGTAGCGGTATTGTTTAAAACGATTGTACATTTTATTGTAAAAGTAGATAGTTTGACTTGATAACTATTTCGTTTTTAATTTAAAAAATTGACTTAAAAATTTGTTTGGAAATTTTTTAATTTATAAATGGTTGTCTCAGTTTATAAATTTTAAAAAAAAATATAAACTCAAAAAATGAGTTGATTTTTAAATAAAAATTTAAAAATTTGACTAATAATTTTTTTTTCAATTTTTTTTTAAATTAATTGTTTTCAATTATAATGTATATAATTTTATTGTCATAAATAATAAAAAATAAATATAAATATTTTAAGCCTAAACAAATATATTTTTTAGTTTATGTTTTGAAAAATTTTCAAATATTTTGTTCAAATCAAACGCACTTGCAATTTATATTTTTCTAAAAATAAACAAAAATCAGTTTATAATTTTTTTGTAAACATAAACCAAAAACGTAAATGTAATAACCTTGTCTCATGTTATGTTAATTAATCGTAATTATGATTGTAGTTATGTGTTTAATATGATTTTGAGTGCCACTTATATGATTATGTGTGTGTGTTTGAATTTCTATCTATTCACCGTGGGAAAATCTGTTTGATTTTCTACTACAGAATTTAAATAGAAGGTTGTAGAGGCATCAGAAAGTGAAATTGGCTACGCCAAAGCCTATATAAATGAGCTAAGTATGCTTAAGCTCATATTTTTGAGCTCAAATCAGATTCTACACTCTAGAGAGAGGGTGAACCGAATTTAGAGAGAGAAAGGAGCCATTCTTGAAGATTTGCAAGAGAACTCAAGTTTTGGAAGACTAGGCTCTAGAACTAGCTAAAATTGTAAAGGTTGAAGCTCCTAGGTGAGTAATTGAGCATAACTTCATAAGTTTGAGTTTGTAATTTTGTGACTTCAAAGTTAAATAGTAATCAAAAACAATAATTAAGTTGATTTGATGAATTTGAAGTCATTATAAACATGCATGTAAAAGATTGCCATGAATTTGTGTATTTGAGCATGAAACATATGATCCATGTTGAATTTTGATTAAGATTCATGCTTTTGATCATCTTTTGCATCACTTAAGTTGAGAATGGAAGATATATTCCACATGCAAGCACAATTCATGGAAGTATAAGTTTTGGTTGCATGAATTTGAAGTATTGGAAATAAGTCTGGTATAAATTGAGTATGCATGTAATTAATTCATAGGAATTGAGCTTCATAATGTTGTAATTTTAGTATTCGTATCATGTTAAAAGATGTACAAGTGAATTATGGGTCATAACATGCAAGCTATTTCAATTGGAATGCAAATTTGAAGCTCAAACAGTTTGCTGAAAATTCCAGAATTCGACCTCTACACTCAAGCGAAAGAGTTGCCGCTCGAGCAGAGAATGCAAGCAACCAGAAGTTTTGCAGACAGAGATGTCCGCTCGAGCGAGATGAGTTGAGCTCGAACGGCTACTCACATGTTTTGACTCCTAGCTCGAGCGATCAGGGTCACACTCGAGCGTAAAAATGGGGTAACCAGTACTTTTGCAGATCCAAGGGGTCCACTCGAGCCGCAAAACTTGCGCTCGAGCGGGGCTTCTTATTCCAGAATTTTTGAAAGTTCTTTATGTTTCATTTTTCGTTCTCTTTCATTTCTAAACACTCTTAAGCATACATTGAACATTCTAAATGAACTAAAGAGATAAGAAAGATGCCTAAAAGAAATAAACAAATTAAAAACGGATCGAATCGCTTGTGACCCAATGTGTTATGAATTGTGTAGGGTTGAGCGCAAGGGCAAATCCACCGGCAGAACACTGTGAGTAATATCTAATTAGAATGTATTGAAGTATGCTACTTCCAAATGCTCACTTATGCATGAGTTCTACAGAGTTATTAAATTGAATTGGTTATTTGTCATACAAATGATTGGGCCAAAGCCCGTTTGATAGAAATGATTGGGCCAAAGGCTGTTTGACATGAATGATTGGGCCAAAGGCTGTTTGATAGAAATGATTGGGGCCAAAGGCCGATTGATAAAAATGATTGGGCCAAAGGCCATTTGACATGAATGATTGAGCCAAAGGTTGTTTGATAGAAATGATTGGGCCAAAGGTCATTTAACACAAATGATTGGACTAAAGGCCGTTTGATATGAGCAAATTGGGCCTAAGGCCATATGATAAGAATGAATTAGGCCCTAGACCGTTTGATAAATTTGGGTCTAAGGCCGTTGATGTATCAGATAAAAACATGAATGGGCCTAAGGCCGTTTGATATGTTTATTAACGAATTTTCATTCATGTAACTTTCTTATTTGATATTATTCACTAGGCTTTCGCCCACTCTCATTCATGTGTATGTAGGTAAGCAAAGAGTCGTCCTAACCCAGCCTTGATGAAGATTATGAGAGGAAGTCAAGTTTTTGAGGAGTCGGCCCGAATGTCTCACGCACGAGACTTTGTTTTTGTCATTTTGTTCTTTGGTTACTCTTTTGCTATTTTAGTGAAGCATTGGATCACCTCTGTACATAAGTTTTTATTTGGCTGATTGCGTAGCTGAAAGTTCCTAGATGTATAAGATGATAATTCCGTATATATGTGTGAGTCATTATGAAATGCTTTTGGAATGATTTTACTATGCCACGTAAGCAACGCTCATTGGACAAATTTTATTTTTTATAAATCTGCTTCTGTTTTGGCCCCCTTTAATATGTCTGAATATGTTTGAGGCCGTAAATAATCTCATGATTATTGGTCGGTTATGACCTTAATCCTTAGGGGCGAGATTAGGCCATGACAATAAACGTATCTCATGATTATTGGTCGGTTATGACCTTAATCCTTAGGGGCGAGATTAGGCCATGACAATAAACGTTACCAAACGCTACCTAAGGAATATACCATCAATTCATTCAAGATTTTGGTGAAAAAAGTTATATATCCTTAAAAAAAAAAAAACTAAGAATAAAATTTGGTAAATTCCTCTTCTTCTTTTTTTTGTTGATTTTATTTAATCTTTGGTTAACTCTTATTTTTAAAAAAATTAAAAACTTTATAGTTTTAGATTCAAATCTATTAAACCAACTAGAAAAGTAAAAATAAAACAAAAAATTGAAGAAAAAAAAAATCACTAAAGATTAAAAAAAATCCAAAAGAAGTCGGTTATTTATTTATTTTCTTTATAGATCTTTCCAAATTAGATGGATTGGAAAAGTAAAAATTTTAACACAAATTAAAAAAAAAAAAATACTAAAGACAACAACAACAACACACAAAAAAAAAGAAAGAAAGAAAAAATCGGATTTTTTTTAAGTGAATACCAAACCCAAAAGGTTTGTTTTATTACAACAATGAACATGGGACCATTTAATTCCCAGTACTATTTTATTGAGCAAATTGCATTTCAGTGTATGACAAAAAAATAAATTGCATATCAGTGCTTTATAATTTTTTTGGTCTTATCACTGATTTGTAAATTCCCCCATTTTATTTCCGTATAAAGAGTCAAATGGCATGCAAATAAAAAACAAAACAAAATAGAAAAAAGATCACTCCGAGCTCTGTTTTTATCTTTCCATACATATTCACTTCAATGCCATAGTCCAACAATAGTGCTTATTCAATGCCAAACTTCTGCTTATATTCCAAGGCAAATCCATAGATCTGTTGAGGATCAGGAAGAGACTTGGAGACACTTTCTCTCTCCATACACCTCTTAACCCACAAAACAATCTTAGGGGACTCGGTTTCTATACAGAAATTGGCAAAAGTTTCAATGGTATAAAACCAGGGAGAAAGGGAAACAAGAACCACATCCACATATCCAAAGGTGTCTCCCCCAAAATAATGCTCGTCTCCAAGTTCTCCTTCCAAAGTCTTCAAGCATTCCATGAATTCCTTCTTAAATGCTTCTTGCTCTTCCCCTTTTACCTTCCATACCTTGTAAGCAATGTTGTATAGCTGCATTTGCACCCACCCAACATGTTAAAAGTAAGTACACATGTTTGTATAATCTGCAATTTACACAGATAATTCTTATATTATTTTGCTCTCTGTAATTTCAATTAGTTCAATTTTGACTCTGAATTTTATATATTATCTCAATTTGGTCCAATTAGTTCAACAATTAACATTTTTTTTTATGGAAAAATCCAACGAAAAAGATGATTAAAATTACCACGTAATCACCGTGTAAAAGACAAAATATCCCTAGCCATTGAATGGCCGGGGTCTTTTGACGCCCAAGTTACTCCTCCAGTGTTATAAAAATATTTAATGAACATAATTTATAGAGAAAACAATGTACCTCAACTTATGGGGATTGCTTTGTTAAGGTTATACCCTTTGGTCTAAAGAACACAAGAGCAACCTTCCAAAGAATGATTACCAAGATATTTACTCTTTTACTCGGCTAGACAATGGAAGTTTACATTGCTAACATGGGGTCAAGAGCAAAAGTGAGTTAAATCATCTCAACAACCTTGCAGAGATGGTTGATATCCTTAAGACTCACACGTTGCGTTTGAATACATTTAAGTGTGCATTTGGTGTGGCTAAGGAAAATTTTTAGGCTTATTAGTGACTAATCGTGGAATAGAAACAAACCTCTTACAAATTTAGGAAATTCAAGAGTTGGAGCGGCCAAATTCTCCAAAAGACATGTAATATCTTGCCGGAATGGCAGCCACGCTAAATAGATTTATTAGTCAATCATCAGAACGTGCTCGTACATTTTTTATTTTATTTTATTTTATCTTAATTTGGTCTAATTAGTTCAACGACTAGCATTTTTTTTTATGAAAAATGTGCATGAGTGACACATGTCATACTTTTATAAATAAAATTGTAAACTTGATTAAGTTAGTGCGTTAATTTCAACTAACTTAGTGACTATTTTCCTTCAAAAACCTTAACAGTTTTATTAATTAAATTAAATTAACACAAAATTTAACTTAATGGTCAAAATTGAGCCAATTAAAATTATGAGAACTAAAATAATATAAGGGATAAAATATAGAAAAAAAATATAGAGACTATCAGTATAATTTGTCATTATGGGCAATGCTTCTTCTGTTTTTCATTTTTTTTTTTTTTAAATCCGTTCATAATGAAGTGGCATAAGTTGAGTACTAGGTGGTTGAACATAATGTTTTAAACATCTCAAGTTCTTTTCATATTTTTTTTTTACTAATTTTACTTACTGTCACAGTCAAAATTAAATATTAATCAACTTGCTTGTTTTCATCTTTCAAAAAACACTTTTCAGAAAATTTTACTTTCTTATTTTCTTTGTTTTTTTGTTTTTACTGAATTTTTTTTAATATTTTAAACAATTTTTTTACTTTTTAGACACACCTAACATAAATACACCTAAAAAGTAAAAAAATTGTAAAAAAAATCTTTTAAAAATTCACTAAATACCAAAAATATAAAAAAATACAAGAATTCAGTACATTTTTATGTATTTATTAATTTTTTAAAATATTTTTTCACAAATTTTTTACTTTTTAGATACATCTAACTAAGGTGCATCTAAATTTTTTTAAAAAAAACGTTTAAAATTTAAAAAATATTCACTAAAAAAAAAGAATATGAAAACCAAAAAACTCAGGTTGTGTTTGGTAGAGTTTCGTAAATATGATTTGAGAGTATGAGTTGTATTTTGAGTTTGTGAGTTGTAGAATTATGATTTGAGTGTACAAAATTTATTTGGTTATGGTTGGAGGTAAATGTAATTTACCCTTAATGTTTCTGTCAATTCATTTTTTAAGCCTGTATAAACATTAAAAATATTAAAAATATTTTAAAACTATTTAGAAAATTAAAATATTAAAAATATTAAGAACATTAAAATATTAAAAATATTCCAAAAATTAAAATATTATGAATATTAAAAATATTCCGAAAATCAAAATATTAAAAATAATTTTTTTTCAAAATAAATATTCAAAAAATTTAAATCATAAATATTTAAATAATTTAAATAATCTAAAAAATCTAATAAGTAAAAAATTAAAATAAATATTCAAAAAATTTAAATCGTAAACATTTAAATAATTTAAATATTCAAAAATTTTAAATAATTTAAAATTTCAATATTTTAAATTTAAAAACAACTCTACACTCAAATCGTAACCAAACACATAAAACAAAACTCAATTAAGAAATTATTTTTAAAACTCATAACCAAACACATAACTCGAAACTCCATACTGCTTTCACAACTTTACACTCAAATCGTAACCAAATACATAACAAAAAAATTAAAATATTTAAAAATATTTTTATAAAATAGAGTTTGAATTTATTTTTATAAAATATTTTAAAATTTAAAAAATTAAAATTGTAATATTTAAAAATTAAAATATTTAAAAAATTAAAAAAATCGTAACATATTTAAATATTAAAATATTTAAAATCTTAACAAAATTAAGATATTTTTAAAATATTTAAAAAATTAAAATATTGATTTGAATTGAATTTTGAAAAGAGTTTTGAATTATGTGTTTGGTTATGGGTTTTGAAAAGTAATGATTATGTTTTGAATTGAGTTTTGAGAAATGAGTGTGGAATTATGATTTGAAAGTTCAAAACAAACAACACACTCAAATCAATAAGTGAAACTATAATTTGAATTGTTTACCAAACAGAGCCTCAATTTTTAAAAAACTTAATTCAAAAAACTCAAACCAAACAGACTGAATGAGATTAAAAAAAACCTATTCACACCGCCTGCTTATCATCAAAAGCATGCAAGTTCAAGTATGTAGCAATTTCACTTTTTAATTTAAAAAAAAAAATAACAACTAAAATTTGTCGTGTCTAGATTTTTCCTAATACATACACACAAGGAGAGGGAAGAAAGAGATTAATTTAAGAACCTTCTTGCAGATGTAATCAGCCCAAAACCTGGCTTGCGAACGCTCATAGGGGTCGGAGGGAAGCAAAGGGGAACTTCCATGCCATGTGTCATCAATGTATTGAACGATGACGAGGGATTCACATATGGATTTGCCGTTGTGAATCAAAACCGGGACGGTCTTGTAAACCGGGTTCATCTCCAGAAGCAGAGGACTCTTGTCCCCCCACAAGTTCTCCTCTTCCTTGGCCTCGTACTCGATCCCTTTCTCAGCCAAGGCGATTTTCACTCTCATCCCATAAGAGCTTGGCCAGAAATTCAACAGAACAACATTATTGTTGTTGTTGTTGTTGTTGTTGTTGTTGTTGTTGTTGTTGGCCTCTTCCATTTCGATTTGAGTCGATAATTAATTAACCTTGTTGTTTGTGAGAACAAAATCAAAAGCTTAATTCTTGTTGTATATTTGTGAGGAGTAATGGCAGACTTGAATTTTATTTATGTAGAATTATCCACAACGTTGATGTCATTCCTTGCGACTTGAACATTCTTGCAATAGGATATAGTCCTCGTTTGGCAAGTTGGCTATTTCAATAGCTTATTTTAGTTTTTTATTATTTTAGTAGGTTAAATATTTGTGTTTAGGAAGATGGTTGGATTTTTTGTAATTAGATATGATGTTTGTAAGAAAAAAAAATGAAATGATTATGAGTTTAATGTGATATTTTATTTTATTGATTATTTTAATCTATTTTATCTTTTTATAGATTTTAGCAACAAAAAAAAAAAAAAAAAACCAATTTTTGACTTCTCAAACATCTCTAAAATACAATTCAAAACTTTTTTCAAAATTTAAAACTTTTTTTAACTTATAACCAAACAAATTTTTCTTTTCAAAACGTAACTCACAACTTCACACTTAAATCATAACTCCATACTCAAATTATAATTCTAAAACTAAACCAAACGAAACTATAACCACTGTAGCATTGTTTGGTATAAAAAAAAGTAAAAAAACAAAACAAAACAAAAAAACATAACTGCCCATCATCAATAAAAAAGTGGCCCACAATTTTATTTATTTATTTTTATATAATAAATATACAATCTCCATACAACTTGTCCCACCTAACCCAAAATGTTTTGAAGTAAAAAGGACTTATAATACGTGTTCACTAGTAATAATAAAAAATTAAAATTTTATTGTTAATTTTAAGATAAATTATCAATAGATCTTAATAATTGAATTTAATTCTTATTAAATTCTATTGAAAATAAGTTCTATTAAAATCGTTGGTACAAATAATTTTTTGTGACGATTTTTTTGCATATGTTGCTAAAAATTGACAATTATCGATTTTTTTGGTCCCGATTTTTATAAATTGTTATTAAGACTTACAATTAGTGATATTTTTGTATGACGAATTTTTTACACTGTAATTGAAAATTGAAAATTAGTAACTTTTTCGTGCTGATTTTTTTAAACTGTTGCTAAACTTATAATTAGTAACATTTTTTGTGATAATTTTTAAACTGTCACTAAAAATTAACAATTAGTGACGTTTTTTAATAGCGCTTGATGAAAAATGCCATTAATTCTCACAGGACCTATTAGACAATAAATTTACATATTAAGACTTATACATAAGTTTCCCTTAATTTTAAACACATATACGCTGGTCTCCTTTATGTGTTTGCCACTAGGTATACTAAATTAAGTTAATTCATGTTGTAAATGCTAATTTTTTTGATAAATTACAAATATACTTCTTGAAATTTACTTAAAATACAGATTATATCTTATAATTTAGAAAATTACAAATACCCCCTTATAAGAATTTTTTATTTAACAGAATTAATTAAAAAATAAAATTCCTAACTACTCACTCTTCTATACAATAATAAAATTACTTGAATTATTAATTGAAATATATTTATGACATCATTAAAAATTGTTAACTAACTTGGTGATTTATTGATAAATGGAGTAATTTGTTTTAAAATTAAAAACTTCAAGGGAAAATATTACAATTCGCATTTTAAAAAAATCTCAAGAAATGTATTTATAATTTATAAAAAATTATAAATGCCAAATTATCCATCAATGGTAAATACTAAATTAAGTTATCAAAAACCACCTAACAAATTGTCTGATCATGACCATATTATACAAATCCTGAATATATTATATTGTTTTGGGAAATTAGTTCAAAGTTAAATTTTTGAATTTTTTTATTTTTTATAAAATATGTATAAAAAATTAAAAAATAATATGATTCAAAATAGATTATAAGTCGAATTTCCAATTTAGGGATAGTTGCGAATATTTATCCAAGATTAGTAGTAGCCTTGTCGGACAAGAAATGAGAAGAGGCGGGCCGTCAGAAGAGACTTGAGAAGTAGTCTTGGGTGGCGAAAACACATTCTCTTATCTTCTTTAATATTCTACGCAAAATATGATAAAAATGTCACTTTTTTCCCCTTTTTTATTCATGTTAGGAAAATCTATGATTTTCTATAAGTAAATCAATTAATGGAAATAAAAATTAATGTGAAAAAATTAAATTAACGACAACACAAGAATTTTTACGTGATTCCCTCAATGTGAGGTATATCCACGGGATCGAAATCCGATTCCACTATCAACCAAATAGATTCCAAACCATTATAAACGAGACACGAATGGTCTCACAAAACCACCCTTAGGTGAATTCCAAATAATCACAAATAAATAAGAGGAAAGATCTCACCAAATAGATGAACAAAAATCTTCAGAACCAGAGTTAAAAAAGACCAAAAAATAACAATCCAAATCAATCAAAAAAAAACCTTGAAATTTTCCTTTACACCACCTAATTGACTGCTGCTCCACAAAGTAATTCCAAAGCCACGAATTGATTGATTAACTACAGTACAGCAACGGCAGCATTATTCTACCAAATTGATTTTCCAAAAAACCTTCTGTCACAGCCTCATGGAAACATATAAACAATATTTATATATTGTTAAATCTTAGTTTTGTTTTATCAAAACTCTAGTTATTACCAAATTGAATTGGGTCTCCACAAATTAGATATAATATATAAAAATATATTATAATTAATACTAAACCAAATTAAACTCTTTTTCCAAAACTAATTGGGTCCCACACTCCAATAAGGAGGTATACCCAACAATTCTCCCCCTACCGATTTAGGTGGAGATATCAACCATACCTGCCAAAATTCGACACTTCAAATGTTTATCCCTCGACAAAGTCTTAGTCAACATATCCGAAATATTATCATCCGTGTGAATCTTTTCGAGTTGCAACAATTTCGAATCTAACACATCACGAATCCAATAGTATCTCACATCAAGGTGTTTCGATCTCGAATGAAAAGTAGAATTTTTACTCAAGTGAATGGCACTTTGATTATCACAATAAAGCACATACTTTTCTTGCTTCAAACCCAATTCTTGCAAAAATTTCTTTAACCATAACTCTTCTTTGCAAGCTTCTGTAATGGCAATAAATTCAGTTTCGGTAGTTGAGAGAGCAACACATTTTTGTAATTTAGATTGCTATGCCACAACTCCCCCTGCAAAAGTCATCAAATACCCCGAAGTAGATTTCCTAGAATCAATATCACCGGTCATGTCAGAATCTATAAACCCATCAAGCATCGGCTTACCATCCCCAAAACACAAACACACCTTCAAATTCCCTCGAAGATACCTTAGAATATATTTTACCGCTGCCCAATGTTCTTTACCTGGTTTAGAGAGAAACCGACTCACCACACCAACGGCGTGAGCAATATCCAGCCTTGTACAAACCATGGCATACATTAAAGAACCAACTACTGAAGCATAAGGAACTTTCAAAATCTCTTTCTTGTCTTTCTCACTTTTAGGACATTGATTCGAACTAAGCTTAAAGCGACCTGTAAGTGGACAACCAACTGGCTTTGCTTTATTCATGTTGAACCTCTCAAAAACTTTCTCAATGTAGCTTTCTTGAGACAACCAAATCAGCCCCTCTTTGCGATCACATTCATACCAAGTATTTACTTTGCCAGTCCCAAATCTTTCATAACAAAAGATTTACTTAACTCTAACTTCAACTTGTTAATCATGGTAGAATCTTGACCCACAATTAACATGTCATCAACATAAAGCAAAAGAATAATAAATTTACCATCCGGGAAATTTTTCACAAACACACAATGGTCCGAAGTGATTTTAGAAAAACCATTATTCATCATGAAAGAGTCAAATTTTTTGTACCATTGCCGCAGAGCTTACTTGAGACCATACAAACTTTTCTTCAATTTGCAAACAAATTTCTCTTTCCTTTTCTCTACAAAACCTTCTGGTTGCTCCATGTAAATTTCTTCTTCAAGGTCACCATGAAGAAATGCGGTCTTCACATCAAGTTGCTCAACTTCAAGGTTCATACTTGCAGCCATGCCAAGTACAACCCGAATAGAAGACATCTTCACAACTGGCGAGAAAATCTCATCAAAGTCAATACATTTCTTTTGCCCAAAGCCTTTCACAACAAGACGTGCTTTGTACCTCAGATTCTTGCCATCATTCTTCAATTCGAAAACCCACTTATTTTTCAGAATTTTCCTCTCCTTAGGCAACTTCACTAAATCATAGGTGTGATTTTCAAGTAAGGAATTCATTTCCTCTTCCATGGCCTTTTCCAATCACCTTTCTTTGCATGCTCAATTGCTTCTTGGTAGCTCTCGGGTTTTCCTTGATCAGAAATCAACACAAACTCATTGGGAGGATACTTTTTTGAAGGTTGTCGGTCCCTTGTAGATTTCCTCAACTCAAGTTGTGGTAGCAGTTCTTGAGTTGGATGCTCTTCCTCAATTTCGGGCTCAACTTCATTTTGAATAGCATCATCATCTACATCTTCAAGAGGTGGCTGCACATCTCCCCCATTTTCATTATCCACCGAAGATGAAGGAGATGGATCCATGTCAATGAGATCACTAGTTTTTGGCTCCGGTTGATCACCTTTGCCAAAGTCTTCAATTGTTTGGTCTTCAAGAGACACAACATCACGGCTTCGAATGATTTTCTTGTCGACCGGATCCCACAATCTATACCCGAATTCATCACGCCTATAGCCAAGAAAAATACATTGTCTTGACTTGCTATCAAGCTTGGACCTCTCATCTTTTGGAATGTGAACAAAAGCTCGACAACCAAACACTCTCAAGTGCTCATAAGATACATCTTTACTGGTCCAAACTCTTTCTGAAACATCACCATTCAAAAGATAGGAATGAGACAAATTGATTACGTCAACCGCTGTCTTCATTGCCTCACCCCAAAAGGATCTTGGTAATTTAGCTTGTGAAAGCAAACACATTGTTCTTTCTATAATGGTGCGGTTCATCCTCTCGGCAACGCCATTTTGTTGAGGAGTCTTCTTAACTATCTTTTGGTGCCGAATACCTTGGCTGCGACAATACTCATCAAATGGCCCAATGTATTCACAA